CAACAGGAGTGGGAGCGGTTACCCGGAGAAAGCCCGGCCTCAGTGTGAGCTTCTGTACCTCTCTGCTGGCCGCCGGGGCCCTCCAGCTTGTCCCACGGCGTCCACAGCAGCGTTGCATTGTGGGAGCTGGCGTGGGCGGCGTTCCGGGCCCGAAGGGGCGGGACTTCGGCCTGGAACCTCCTCCCCAGGTTGATCCTCCTGTGATGGGCAGCTCCGGGTTACCAGCCAGTCAGAGACTGAAACATCCCTGAGAAAACCTAAACTTTTTCTACGTACGGCGGGACGGGTCCTGATGCTGAGGCTGTCGCCATGGCAACGGGGTCCCCTGGTTCACCTGTCAAAAAACAGTCACAGCTCAGCGTGGAACCACAGCCGTCCGGGCGGGGCTTTCTAGGGGTGGGACGGTTCACAAAATCCACGGTTCGGTTCGATTCACGGTTTCGTGGTCACGGTTTTCGGTTCGGTTCGGTATATGTTGATTGTTAGGAAAATCTATTATGTCTTGTATAGTCAGGTTAAAACTGAAAGAAAAAAGCAGTCTGACATTTGATTCATCATTGTGACAGTCTGAGGTTAAAAGTAGGTGAGATTCTGGCATTGCAAGAGAGGAAACAGTGCTAATTCCAACATGTGCTTCCCTCTAAATGCAAACTGGTCCCATACAGCAGACCTACAAACTGCTGTTGGCGCGTCAGATTTTTATCGGCTACGCTGCCTATTCTTCTTCTTGTTTCCTACTGGTGGTTGGCTTTGGGCGCAGTAGCGCCACCTTCTGCTCTGGAGTGTAAACGCTTCCCTCTGAGAAAAAGGAGCAGCATGAACCGAACGAAACACACGCGAACCGAACCGAGACAGAACCCAAAGGTTCGGACGGTTTTCAGAAACCGTTCCATCCCTAGTGGCTTTTCTGGGACTCACCGTGGGGCCGGGCGGGGGTCAGGGAGCAGTACAGCCCCGGCCCCCCCCTCTGGGGACACAGCATGGGCGGGGGGGTGTAATGGCCTCCGTCCCCCCTCCCGGCCTCGTGCATGAGGCTCTGATAGAGCGCATGGCGTCTGGGGGTCTTCTGTTGTCCCCCCCCCTGGGCCTGGCCCGGGGACACCCTCCTCGTTGGGACGGGCACAGACACTGGCATCACCATGGAGACGGGGTTCGGCCCGGGGGG